TCGTCGAAAACACTGGCGATCGTTCTTTCCTCGTACCTTCGTTTCCACGTGATCTGAAGGAGGGCCGCGATGCGATATTTTCGTTCCGTAGAGTATCTGGAAATTTATACACTCGGGAACTCTTTTTACATGCCATCCGGGTTCTACCCTCTTCGGTGTAATCTTCACCGAATTTTCACTCATCTCGTGTAGGTGAAATCGCGAGTACGGAGTATGTGATACAGAGGGACAAACGGTCGATGAAAATTTCATAGCTCGAGGCGTGTTGCTCGCGTGACAATATTTCCAACTCGATCAGATATTCCAAATCGGCTCTTTTTTCCATTTTCTTTCCCCGTGCGTTAGCTGCAAACTACCAACTCGATCGCTGACACGACCCGAGATGTAGATTTGACAGCAGAGTTCGACGATAGCAAGTAGAGATCCCGAATCTTCCTAAATCACTAAGGAAGAGACAGCGAAAATCTTTTTCTTTTTTTTTTTTTTTTACAACGAATTTGATCACTCGTTACCTCCTCGATGATTAAAGCCGCAGCGTCGTGTTTCCTTTTGTAAAAGTCCGGTTACTTGCTTCACTACCAGTGCAAGCTACCTTGATTCTTCGCTTCTTCCCGAACACGAGACGTCTGGCAAAAAAATGTAGGAAAAAAGCAGAGAGAAGAAACAGAGCAAACAGCTTTCTGATCGATCGCATTCCGCGGAACGAGTTGGTGGTTTAATGTACAAAGCGGATAGATACACGAACCCGGTGAGGGTCCGGTGCCGTGACAATTAGCCAGGGGATCAAAGTTTCTCCAGAGCTTCTCGCAACGAGAGAGAGAGAGAGAGAGAGAGAGTTTCACACGCCGAGGTTCGAAAATACGCGAGACGAGATCTCCTTCTTCTCGGATGGACGATCGATCGCGAGGTGCAACGCGAGACGAGAGTTAAAATAAGCGAATCTCGATGCGTCTGGCAAAAATACTTTGCACGAGGTGGTTAATATTAAAAGAAAGAGAGAGAGAGAGAGAGAGAGAGAGAGAGAGAGAGAGAGAGAGAGAGAGAGAGAGAGAGAGAGGGAAGGGAATTTTCGGGAGGCCATCGACATCCATCAACGACTCTTTTTCTCGTGATTCCAATTTCTAAGCACCGCGGGATCCTGCCGGGCCGCCCCTAAAGCAGAAAACGAATCGATAAGCTAAGACGGAGGGGTAGAGCGGGAGGGGGAGGGGGGGGGAGGAAGGGAAATCGGGTAAGAAATATTCGCGTGAAACACGCCATTTTAAACGCCGACTAAATTACCGAAGCGCGTGAGAAAACCAAGTGGCGGATTTCTTTCTCTTCTTTTTTTTTTTCTTTTTTTCTTTCTTTCTTCTTTTTCTTTCATTTCGAGTTACGACGTGGCTCGTTGCGAGAGGAACTTAACGTTGACGTTGGAGAACTACCGTCCTTGCCACCGCGGAGCGATCTCGAGCGCTATTTTCAGCTCAACCCTGAATCTTAATGAGCGTTACAACCATGCTACCAGAGACTTCTCTGTCGCGGTTCTTGCACCGTTTTAAAAATCCTTCCACGCACGGGACTCGTCCCTTCCTCTTCTCCCCCCTCTGGCGAGGAGATCGCCGTCACTTGGTTGAAAATTCCTTCTTTTTTTTTTTTTTTTTTTTTTTTTTTTTTTTTGGCCCGGTTTCCGTTAAGCCAGGGCCTTAAAGCTCGATGCAAC